TTGCCTTTGTTTGGTTGTATTTGGATGCAAGAGAAATGGCTGCAGCGTCTGTAAAATTCTGAAATGGAGATCACATGTAATTCCGCACACTAACAACAGCCTGGCAATTTCTAGCTTGTACAAGAACATACCGAAGGTAAGATTAAGCGCTTAAGCTACTGTTTACGAAATTTCGTTTACTACTGGAGCTTTCTCACGTGCTACTTCCTAAGGCAGCATTGACTTGATTGAACTGTGTTGCGTTTTTGTAAGCGCAATGTTTGCCGGGCTCAGCATTCAAATTCATCGCGTTCGTATACCGTTGTTTTCACTGAAAAATATTTCAGCCGTGTCTTTGTTTGAGTTTATATTGAGCAAGACAAAATTCTTAACTCTTGAAAATCTTAAACAATACAAAAGGTGATAAAAGATGTCAAAAGTTGCTAAAAAATATTGATGTAAACATCTAATTTACATAATTTTTGATTTTGTGCGTGGGGAAGCTTTGAAATTCTGTGAAAGCATTGTATTCCTTTGTTTATAAGCTTAAGCTTATATAATCTTATGTTATTCAACTAGCGTGAGGTCCATTTGGCAAAATATTGGTCGGGTCCTTTGTTTGGAGGTTTATCAGGCTTGCAAACTTGCAAAAAAAAAAAAAACCCAGAACGAGATCAATATTCTCTTAATACAGGCCGAACAAGCTAGTGTAATAAAGTATTTATTATAATGGATCATCTATATGTGCTCATAAATTGATGTGTCTCCGCAATTCATTCTTACGTGCACATTTATTTAGGTCTATTTACATTTCTCACATAATTTGCTTTCTGAACAGTTACCTGAAATTGTCCTCCAAACATGGAGGTAAAAAGATTTCTACTAAATAAAAATACTTTTGTTTAGTGCAAAGAATTTAAAAAGCAATTTGCCAAAATTAATTTTAATGGTCCAAATTCAGACTGCTTAGGGAACCAACCAGAGTTCTCCTTTTCACTGTGCGCCAGTTCAGCCATATAATAAAACTACTTATTACATGGCTTACTTCATGAGCAGGCAAGATGAACCAAATCCTGTGCTGTGATTGGCTACCCGAGTGGGCAAGATGGAGCTATCTTGCCCGCTTGGGATTACGCGCTGTGTCCCGCAAGGAAAAATTTTCAGAAGCGGAGGCAGGTTCACCAAAATTTTCTTTCGTAATTTGTGCTGTGAAAAATATTTTCTGTGACAGTTAAACATTTCCTGTGGTCTCTGTAGCAATGGAATTGGAAAACAAGAAAACTGAAACCCTCAGCAAGAATGAAAACAAAGAAAACAAACATGATGACGAGTTTCTTGAATTTATTTTGCAACAAAAAGCGGCAAACACCTTAAGCTTAAGTTAAAACTCAGAATTACATGAAGCCATGGAAGCGATATTATTTCCAAGGAAACGAGAATAAGAAACTGTGTGACATACCTGAGGGAGAACTGAATTTGCTGTTGTGCAAATGTTTATAAAATCGTGAAGAAATTAGACAGCACAGAGTACGAGCCTGTCAGTTTGACATCTTTTCAACAAAGTCTTCAACGCTCCTTGAACAAAGAGGTTCAAAATTTGAACATTTAATGAGGGAGACAACTTCAAACTCCCAAGATGAAGTTTGACAGTGTGAGTGCCAAACGCCGACAACTTGTTGTAGAACATGGCCGAGGAAGACAAGCTTTTTGAGTGTGGTGAATCCGACAGCCTTGTGGCGCCACAGAGCCGAGCAATGATTCTTCCAAACGCCTAAAGATCAGAAAAGCGACAGGCAGATGAAATGAACATTTCTTGCTCTATTGGTTAAACTTTCTTTAGAACTTAAGCAACTGGCGCCCATTTTATGAAGCTCGATTTGGCGTAGAAATTTTCGTAGAGCTCTACGACTCTACGCTGTCGTCACCAGTCTCCTCCTACATGATGGAAAGTTACTTTTCCTTCCACTTTGTAGCTTTTACTGTAGTTGTGCATTGTTGTTATGGTTACCTGCCCATTTTGTAACATTTGATTTCAATTTGTAGCATATTCCTTGCATGTATCTCATATATATTAAAGTGTTGTTAAAGTATTATTACGGTTTACAGTGTTTTAATCATTTTCAATTTAAAGTTCTGTATTGAGTTTACCCTCTACGCTCTACACTATGCTCTACACTGTATGTTCTACCATCTACACTCTACTCACTATGTTCTACCAGCTACTCTCTTCGATCTATGCTCTATGCTCTATGATCTACCCTCTAAGCCCATCTGCTTGGAAGGTTACTGGAATTTTTTAATTTTTTTTTAATTTTTTAATTTATTAACGAAGACTAGTGAGCAGCACAAAGGAAGACTTCTTGTAGTTGTAAGCTTTTTCATTTATTTCTGACCCACTTTGTCTCTATCTAAGGCTTCTTCAGGGAATGATTTAAGCATGCCTAAGTTTAACTTCCCAAAATATAAAAAAAAAGTTAAAAAATTTAAAAAAAATTAAAAAAAGCTTAGAAAATTAAAACATTAGAAAAAGACATTTTTTTTTGTTTGGAAGGGTCCCAGAGAAATCCTATTAGAGTTTCTTTTGTTTGAAAGGGTCCTTAAGAAATCCTATTAGAGTTTCTTAATTTTAGCGCTCTGCAGTTTTCTACCTATAAAAATCCACAAAAAAAGTATCTGTACATTCCCTTTGAGTCGTTTCATTCCCGCAAGCAACAAGAAGGCCTTTATCAGAGGCGAACTTATGTGCTATACTAGAAATAGCTCCACGTTTAAACCTTTAGCAAAGCATGAGAAATTCTGGAAGTGCCTCCGGCTTCACAGTTACCCAGTTGGGTTTTTAATTCCTTTATTCAGGTTAAATACAGTAACAGAACTAAATGGCTTTCGCTAAAACGTAAATCGCACAACAGTAGAATGGTAGTCTTTAAATCTACATTTTAACTGTAATCATGCTAACTGATGTGAATGACATTTTGTTATAGTGTACTCAAAAAGTGTGAATACTTAGGTCACGTGACTTTGAACGCTTAGTGGATGTTTTGCAACCATGTGGAGATGTTGTTTACTAGATTTTAGGGTCGTAATTTGTCAAAGAGATTGCTGTTCATTTCAAATTGGAATAAATGGTTTAACTCAGAACCACTAACATCAAGCTGGTTATCCAGACACATTTACCAGACTTAGAGTGTATTGTCAGTTATAAATCTACTACTGCTTTAGCACATCTATGTAAATAGCATGTTTTTGGGGGGCCATACAATTAACGCTGATCATATGGCCCCCAAAATATAACAACAAGTAATAACATGTGCATTAAGGCATTTCTTGTAATGTCCGTTTACAGCATGTTTCAGTGGTTATTCACTTCCATGGGAAGTTAAACTTAGGCACATTGCTATATATGCTGTTCAGTGTTAGTTGTAATCATTCCCTGAAGAAGTCTCAGACAGAGACGAAATGCGTNCAGACAGAGACAAAATGCGTCAGAAACCCAGGGGGGGGGGGTGGTACTTGGATCAATCTTTGTTAGGTATGTGCCGCTGGCCTCTCATAACCCCTACCCCATTATAGTCATATTCTATGGCCAATTATAGACCCCATCTTAGTCACTTTTGGTTAAATGTAATTTTCACGACCCCAACTTAGTCACTTTCTGTTTTTGCGTCTACCGTATAAATCCTTTTAACTAAGTGTTTCTGTAATTAATTGACACATTTAATAAACTGAATGAAGAACACTTTACTTCACAACTACACTATAAACATTCTGGTACATTTGCTTACCATAAACATTTACAAACACACCGTCATAAATAGTTGAAATGCAAACAGTCTTCTTTAATGGTAACATTACATGTTTATTGGAGGTGGAATTAATATTCCTGTCAATGTCACGTTTAAAGCAAACAAGTCCCAAGCAAAGGAGATCAAATGCTTATTACAGCAAAAGAAGATCCAAGTTATCTTAACTTCGATGGACGCAGAATGGCAATTTAATAGCGTAACACGAATGTGGACTTTGTTCTGGACTATTGTGCAACTGGTTAATGTTTAGGTTGTGATTTCAAGGCCGGAAATGTAATGGGAGGCGTTTGTCAAATATTAAACAACAGCAATAAATACAGTAACATTTTTTTTCGGCGAATCTTTCCGTTTGTAAATCACAACTTGCCAGAATTTTCTTACTCTCAAAATCCCGGAAAAGTGTGACCCCATTCTAGTCACCCTATAAAAAATGCTTGAAAAGGCGACCCCATTATAGTCAGTCCAGTCGTGAAAATGCGACCCCATCCAACGGCACATCCCCATTAGCCCATTTATAGGAAGTGCCCTCCCGGGGTCAGAAATAAATGAAAAAGCTTACAACTACAATAAGTCTTCCTTTGTGCTGCTCGCTAGTCTTCGTTAAAAGATTAAAAAATTTTTNCAGAATTTTCTTACTCTCAAAATCCCGGAAAAGTGTGACCCCATTCTAGTCACCCTATAAAAAATGCTTGAAAAGGCGACCCCATTATAGTCAGTCCAAACGTGAAAATGCGACCCCATCCAGCGGCACATCCCCATTAGCCCATTTATAGGAAGTGCCCCCGCCCCCCGGATTGAGACGAAAAACAAATGACGAATTGGAATATTTCGAGTGAAATTTCGAAGTTATCAATTTCGTTCCCGGTCGCGATCCTTTTAGTTAGCATTAGACCTCTGGGAGAAATCGAAAAGTAAGCCAGCATTGGTTTTAGCGGCTACTCTTTCTACGCATGTTCAGAAAACGTTATTAAACTTGAACGCATGCGCATGATCAAACCAAACCAGGATTTTCTATTTTCAGTTTTGATTTCGTCTTGAGCGTTGCGCGTTCGGTCACCCCTGACCGAAAACGCACGTGGTTTGGGGAAGAGATTACCAAGATTTAACATTATTGATGTGCCGAACGAGAGCGAATCAACAAGAGGTGACTAGGCCCTTAATCAACATCCAAATTTTCAAGCAGGAGTTTCAGTGTCGAGTGAAGTAGTAGGTTGGTACCTCATTATTGGGATGCACTCGTCCTATTGTGGAAACTCGCAGATCTATTGGGTCATCCATGAGTGTCTGATTTGTCACTGGACTTGTTTCTGTCAAACCATAACAGATCTGAAAACAGAAATTTTATAATAATGTTTACTTTATTTTATAATAAAGTAAAACAGTGAAAAAAGGCAGAGTTAACTTAACAACACAAGCTCTTCGCCAGAGTGAAATATCGCGAATCCTGCATAGGAAAAAAGATGACGACTGGTACATTAACCCGCCATAGTTCCTTGCGCACGAAAACTTAAACAACGCTCGTAAAAACGTACAGAAAAGTTCTCAGACTTTCAAACCTAGCATATACAATTTCGTTAGCACAGGGACAAGTGTTGCAAAAATATGGCTTTCCTTGTACTTTTGAGGCTTTGTAAGGTTCGCATGGCATTGTGGTCAAATGTACAGCCGGCCGTCATCTTTGTTTCCTACGAAGGATTGGCAAATTTCTTGCAACACTCGCGTGACTACTATTTAACTACCTAACTTTGCGGTGTCAGAGGTGTTGTTCACACTCATTACTCACCGTTACTTGAGGCATGTGAAGTTTTGTCATAATCTGTTTCATCACCTCTATTGGACACGGTGAGCCCGCCATAACACCTGACAATGAAGAATTACAAAGAAAACACTTTGATTACCTGAAAAACTTGCGTAACATGCTCTGGTCAATCACAACAAGGATGATGATTTTTCAACCAATCCGGTGCCGGCAAAATAGTACAGAATACGACTGTTCAACGACATGACACGAATTTCCCGCGCTTGGCATCTGCGTGGCGAGCGCTGGAAAACTCACGTGAGCAATTTCTGGTTTAGTCAGTTCTGATTGGTTTGTTTAGGGAGTTGCCTGACAGTTAAAGAGCTAAACAACAACAGCAACACAACAAACAACGTAACATAGCCAATAAGAACTTGTTTTGTTTGTTTTACTTTTTGCCATTTATAAATATATTTACAAAATATCAATGTATAAGGAAAGGAAGCCCAGGTAAACCAATAAAGCTTGTCGTGAAATAAGTAACTGATGAAAAGGGTTGAAAAAACGTAGTTGTGGTCTGTTTTGGAAAGAGATTCGCTCGTCACGCCAATTCTTTGCCATGTCCTCTGACCTATTTACGCTTGAATTCAAACAACACAAGTATATGTGTAGTCTAACAAAAGCTGCTAAAACATTACACTATTTTCACTTACTGACCTGTATACAGACTGCTGCAATCAAACTTGTCTAAAGCGGGGTGATTAAGAACATCAATGAACATCGTCGGGGTACCGTACAGTGAAGTACACCTGAAAACAGAAGAAACAAAAAGAAAAATGCTGATTAGCCAAAACGTCAACCTACCAATGGGCAATAACTTGTTCACTTTTAAAATATGGGCCCGCAGCTAACTATGGCATACAGTTACAGGCCACGTCAATTCTACGCCAGAGAAATTTAAAACCGGTGTTTTCACTCTAAAAACGTATCAGATGTTTCTATCCACACTACGCCGGAGAAATTTAAAAACGCGACAATCAGCGGTCATTTTGGATTTGTATTTGAGGAAAAGTTGGGCAGGGAAATCACATGATTGTCGTGATGTCATCATTTTCGAAAAGCTCCGTGTTTTCCGCCCGCACTAAAACACAAAACCGGCGTTTTCAAATTCCTCCGGTTTGAAGAGCGCATAACAATGAAGAGCGTTTTCGAAAAGCTCCGTTTTCGTGACTGATTAGTGTGGACGGTAGACTTAACCGTAGAAATAAAGCTGCGTTTTCAAATTTCTCCGGCGTGGTGTGGTCGGGGTCTAAAATGACAAATTTCAGTCGATGCGATTCTGAATTTCAATGCTTAGTCGACAGAGGCATGCTATCCTATTTTGGGTGAGCGAGGCAATCAAAGTGAAATTACACTTATTGTGCATCCAAACGCAACGTTTCTTCGTCAACAAGCCGGAGTAGAAATAAATTAATCCAACAAAGCGGAACAAAACCGTTATCATTTTTAAAAAAACGCACAGAGGTCATCACAAATCAAAGATTCTATAATTTCCAGAAAAAGGTAAAGAAAACTTTCATTTCGGGGAGCNACCGTTATCATTTTTAAAAAAACGCACAGAGGTCATCACAAATCAAAGATTCTATAATTTCCAGAAAAAGGTAAAGAAAACTTTCATTTCGGGGAGCAGGGATGGCGCAGTGGTGAGAGCACTCGCTTCCCACCAATGTGACCTGGTTTCGATTCTGGCCTGGCGCCATATGTGGGTTGAGTTGGTTGTTGGCTCTCGCTTCACTCCGACGGCTTTTCTCCGGATTCTCCGCTTTTCTCCCTCCACAAAAACCATTATCTCCAAATGCCAAAAAAACCTGTTATGGCTGATGTAGCCTCCTCCCTAAAAATTGTAAATTTATTTCAACAAACGAGCCCGTACATCTTTCAAAATGTAAGTTGAAACTTACTTTTCCTGTTGAACAGCTGTCAGAACAGCTCCCGGGTCAAACCCTCGTGATGGGTAAACTGACGTTGTTCCATATGTGATACTCATTAAACTGAAACACAATGTTGGAAAGTTAGTGCCGACTATTTTTAAACCAATTATAGACTTGCTCAGCCTATAGCATCAAATACCGCAATGATTCGATTTAGTGCCCGGGGCACTAATTTACTTTTGGGGGTGCTTATTGGGGAGGGCACTTATTAGGGGTGGGACACTTATTTCTCTATGAACATGTAATCTGGATGTGGTTCAATACTTCAATCAAAAGCAACAGCTGCTTTGACTCAAGAACTGTAACAAAATGAGTTCTGATAGTAATGTTCAATCTTACCTTCAGATGAGAAAGCAGAGTTCATAACTCATTCGTCCAATCAGTCTATTCTATGTCAATGTCCTGAATGTCACTTTTGCTATGTAGACTGTTGTTGGAAAGGACGCTTATTGCAAAAGCAGCACTGAAGAGGGAGCGCTCAATAGAAAGGAGGTGCTTATTGGAAGGAGAGGGTTGAATCGAATCATTATCTAACGGTATATATCATGGCAGAAGTATGGGTAAAGTGGAAAGTGCTGGCCTCTTACATCAGACTTGCGGTGGGAAGTTGAGTTTAGACTTCCAACCTTGTCTGTTACCCCTGTAGCGTGTTCTTGGACCCAAGACACTTTTTACTTTACTTACACAGTACGTCTCCCAACCTGGGCATATAAACATGGATAATGGCGAATTTCCAGAAAACCTTTCTGCAATGTAGGAGGTAGGGTGGGAGGGAGGGACTTGTAATGGAGTGGAGTACACATTTTTGGCTTACTGAGAAACCGTCTGAGTGGATTTCTTGTAGTGCGCGTTGAAAATTTGGTTCACGGGCAAGACTAACAGACCACAAACCAGTGCAAGTGAGTCTGAGTTGAACAAGGAGACTGCCGCTGCTTTACTTAGGTCACATTTTCACATGCATCACTTGTGACATGGGTTGATGATCTACAGTGTAGCAGCATAGTACAACTTACCTTCCAAGCACCATTCCAAAACAGTGATAAAGAGGAACAGGGATGCATATTCTAGAATACTAAAAAAGTGTCATGATCAATACAAAGTAACACAGGCAAGACATGATAAACAGCACACTGGTGTCGCACAGGTCATGGGTTCGAATCCTGTTCAAGCCTGAATTTTTCTCAGGCTTTAATTTCACAACTGCTTAAGTCTTGTATATAACTGCGATGATCATCCATGTCTTCATATCTTTCTCCGCAGTTCAAAAATATCTTTGATATATTCGCTTACATTCTTCACCATTTACATGTACATTACAAACTTATAACGTGACCAGCTCCCGGATGGCTTGATAGCTCAGTTGAAAGAGCACTGCACCTGTATTGCAGAAGTCAAACCATTGGTTTGTGGCCTTTTCACTGAATGATTTCTGTGAAATTTAAACTGAACAAGACAGTACCTGATTTTCGTAATTTAAAATTTCTCCAACAAAATATGCATTGTTAAGAATTGAATGGTGGGATAATGTAGCACCTTTGGGATTTCCAGTTGTGCCCTGTTAAAAATACAGAAGATATTTAGCATTAGCAAAAAGACCTTTCAAGTAAAATGATCAATTACCTTGGCAGAGCATGAGTCATAAAACTATCTAGCTCAAACTTTCTCCACTGTTGTACACAATACAGGTATTTTGCTGCTACCCATTGTGATGTAAATCCCCATAAATCTGGTGAACCAAAATGAGAATAGTCCTCAGCTTAAAAGGGCCGGGTCATAGTATTTTGGTAATTCTGTTCATTTTTTTTTTAAGCTTTGAGTTTTAAACTTCTAATTGATACAGCAACAGTCCTGTATTGGCAAACTCTCTGCCACCTAACAAACAAGCATGATTTCAGAGTATGATAAATGACACTGAATACAAATTAACTAAACTTGAAAAAGTCAGGATGCTGTTTTTAATGTTTACCCTTAAATTGAAAATGAAGTGTTACTTACGGAAGTGAACTGAATGTTAATTGGATCGTCGCTTTGAAGTTCATTTTGTAATTTGCGTAACTCTCTTTTTTCTTTTGCCCCTCCTGTTTCCATTAACTCTTGAAATGCCATTGTGCCGCTACAATTAAACACCAGAGACAATCATTATCACTTCCTCCTTATCAGGTGTGGCCCCGTGCCTGTTTCCACCATTTTACAGTAAAAGGTCAGACTTTTTGGAATGACCTACTACAGAAACCCAGGGAAAGGAACTTTAGGGAGTTAAAATCCAAAACACTTCCTGGGCTAGCACAGCCCTGGACCCCTCTACAAACTTGCGCCTTCGGCATTCATTGTTTTGGAAATCGGTGACCATTTTTCTTAGATCTACACCTACCAATAGCAAGTTTTGGAAAACCATGATGGCAATGTCAACAGGAACATTGTTAAACAAAAGGTTTAATGAGCAGAACAATGGTTGTGCATGTGCATTATAATTCTTGGTACATTTCTTTGCCGTCCTCTGCTAAACAACAACAGGAAATGACCAAATTCTGCATTAGCTGTTGAACATGAACCATGATAGCTAATTTTCAAATTTATTGCTGTGTTCTAGATTATTCATGATACATGTAGTTTTGACAGCGATTAACAAAATGAAAGTAAATGACTTAATTGAGAGTATCATGAGATTCGTAGGCAAAATATAAATTAATTTTTCTAACTGGCAATATTGTCCTCCGCATCGCTTTCGTGGTTACTTAAATTTCCTAGTGATGCCAGCTTGGGAAGGTTTGGCTCAGAAATCAACAAATTATAAAATTAACCTAAAAGTTCTTTCATGATCCTTGCTTGCCATCACAACCAGCTTAAGATCAGGAACTCTGTGAAAGATAGTCATGATAATATTAGCATACATTTGCATAAATGTAACTTTACTAGCACACTTAGAGTACTTGTTTCACTTTCTAGTTAACTGGTTGGGAGATCAAATCAACCTTATCCTTGATTACCGAACTTTGTGAGTGTCTAGTGCAGTCCTGGCCCTCTCACTGTCATGCAATGCAACACTCTCAGGAGAGAGACAGAGAGGCCACGACTGGACTAACTGAAGCTCTTGCAGACACAGGTTCTATATTTATTTCTAGTAAAACTAAGTCAAGGTCACCCAACACCCACCTCAACAAATTATCTGAACACCTAATCTCAACATTTAAAAAAAATTAAAAGTAGACAATAAATTTACATTGATTCACTACCTTTAAATGCGACTTTGTACCTGTCTGCCTGTTTCTACCATAATGCAAGCATCACTAAGTGTCCATGGTAACTTCAAGCCATTTGAAAAAGAAAAAATCTAAATGAGTGACTCTGAGGGGAGTCTCTGAAATAAGGTTGTCACAGAAGAAGTCGGTGTATTTGCCAATGGCACTATGACAAAAATATTTGTTTAAACTGTGGATAATGCCATCCACTGAATAAATCACTATCTTCAGTGTCTGCCTGTATGACTGCCTGTCTGTCTGTCTGCTTGTCTGACTGCCTGTCTTCCTGTCTGTCTGTCTGCCTGTCTGTCTGCCTGTCTGTTTGTCTGTTTGTCGCCCTGTCTGTCTGTCTGTCTGCTTGTCTGCCTGCCTACCTGTCTGTCTGACTGCCTGCCTGTTTACCTGCATGTCTGTCAGTCTGTCAGTGTTTCTGTCTGTCTGCCTGTCTGTCTGTTTGTTTGCCTGTCTGTCTGTCTGAAAGAAAATAATTAATTAATTAGACTAAACTCATTCAAAACATACATTTTTTTACATGCTTCATAATTGAATTTCATTTGAAACAGTTGACCTTTCACTGAAGAGATCTCCTGTTTTTGAATGTGGCAGCTCATGTACAAAGTGAATTAGCATGTTGTAGTAATCCTGTGTTTTGAACTGGTCAGCCATGATGAGAGCTTTGCAGCTGACCTAAGATTATTAAATATTAAACATTATCAACATTTTAGTCTGAAACATTACTGCATTTGTAAAAATCAAAATAACAAGTATTAACTATTTTATCCTTGGAAATTAATTTATTATTATCATGGTACTTATTAAATACCTTTTTCAGAGCATACTCCACCTCTGGAATTTGATAAGCAGGATTTATGTTAACCTAGAATTATGAAACAACGAGACAATAGTGTAAAATTTAATCCATAAAGGCTGGTTCGCACTTTGACATGAGAATAAGCATAAGCATAAACATAAGCATAAGAAAAATATGTGTGTGAACCGGGGTTACATAAGCATAAGCATAAGCATAAGCACGAGGAATGGAACTTTTTCCATTTTCTTATGCTTATGCTTATGNTTTTATCCTTGGAAATTAATTTATTATTATCATGGCGCTTATTAAATACCTTTTTCAGAGCATACTCCACCTCTGGAATTTGATAAGCAGGATTTATGTTAACCTAGAATTATGAAACAATGAGACAATAGTGTAAAATTTAATCCATGGGGGCTGGTTCACACTTTGACATAAGCATAAGCATAAACACAAGCATAAGAAAAATATGTGTGAGCCGGGGTTACATAAGCATAAGCATAAGCATAAGCATAAGTACAAGGAATGGAACTTTTTCCATTTTCTTATGCTTATGCTCATGTTGTGAATACTTGAGTGTGAACCGGGCATAAACAATATGCCATTACAACAGTAGCCACCAAAATTTTACTACTAAACAAATCCTATATTAACTAGAACAATTTAAAACTAACTACAGTTTTGAACTTACCAGTATCAATCCAGCTTTAGCAGTAGCAAACTGAGTGATGACCCATTCTCTCATTCTGGTGGAATGTAGAGAGTAGAGCATAGATGGGCTTAGAGGGTAGGTGGTAGATCGTAAAGCGTAGAGCATAGATCAAAGAGAGTAGCTGGTAGAACGCAGAGTGTAGATGGGCTTAGAGGATAGATGGTAGATCGTAGAGCGTAGATTGAAGAGTACAATGTAGCTGGTAGATCGTAGAGAGCAGAGTGTAGATGGTAGAACTTAGAGCATAGAGGGTAAACTCAATACAGAATTGTACATTAAAAAGATTGTTAAAATACTGTAAACTGTAATAACATGTAAATATATATGAGATAATAAAGAAAACCAATAAATTACAATTACAAAAATTACAGCATCGCAGATGATTGAGAAACTTGCACTCGTAACCCTAATAATTTTTATCACTCTACTGCTGTGGTTTTTTAAGCCTCTAAGCTAGTTTAGAGAGTAGTCAAAAATTCTTGAACTAATAAACTTGTAAATACGTAGAACGTAGAGCGTAGATGGTGGAACATGAAGTGTAAGAGCTTTAATTAAGAGTGTGGCGTGTTGATCGTGAATGGAAGAACATACAGCATAGAGCGTAGAACATAGCCAGGGTAAACTCCATGCAGAATTGTAAATTGAAAACAATTATTAAAACACTGCAATCCATAACACTCAACGTTCCTAAGCGATGTAATATTTGCTACAATAACTATATGCCTCTACACCTCTATGGTGTATGCATATCCAAGAGAAACAGAGCTTAAGCATTCAAAATACTACCGTGAAGTTGTAGAGCTCTACGAAAATTTCTACACCTAACTGAGCTCCATAAAACGGGCTGGGTATAAAGTTAAGAGTTGAAAATTGAAGCCTTTTTGGGACATTTTTGAGGTTCAAAACAATAAGATCTTTTAGATCTTATAACCACGCTTTTAAACTTTAACTGTTTTCTTAGCACTACAGGCGCAATGCAGTGCACATTCCAAAGCAGTTCTTGATGATTCATTGATTACTGTAGACACCACATCACTTGATCAACACAAACTGCATTATTGCACCATCAGTTGTAGCTGTTGTGAAATCTCCAATGACGTAATCGTCTTAATCTGGAACTTTCCTCGGGATATGTATATACGTATGGGCATGAACGATATGAACGATACGATAGGACTATTAACAACAGCTTACTAAATGTAATTGGTTTTTGCCATGAGTAAAGAGCTAGCAAAGTAGTCACACAAGTCACATAATTCAAGAATTATGTTATCCACGACTATCTTTAGTACGGTGGTTATTCCCCTACCAATGACGTAATCCTTGCACGTTCTGACACATTCTTTGCTTGGCTTGCAAATATTTAATTTTCCTTCTCTGAACACGCTGCGATGAAACAGCCAACGAATTCACTTCATTTGCCGAAACCCACAAGAAATACTCGCAAAATTGCAAATCAATTAATGACCGTCGCTTCTGGCGAAATAAACTTGCAAAGTAAACACAATCTTATTTATCACGTAGCGAAAATGAAAGCTGCAACATCAGCGCATTCCTTGGCTGACGTTATACCTTTTTCAGCATTTTTAGCATATTTATTATTTCCCTTCGAATCCAACGCTTCGATAAAACCAAAAAATATATTTTACACACAAA